GTCGAAATCAAGCCCTAGAGAGAAAGATGGAGGTTCGAAATCTGCTATTGAAAGGAAAATTGGGGCTGACAATGAAAATTTCGTATAGCTATGTTTAGTGGTTGAAGAGTCTGTTTAGAAATCAATGTCTTATGTTTCGTAACAATGTCGAAATCTGACATAGGGTAAATTGGGGCTGACAATGGAGGTTCGAAATCTGCTATCGACGAGACGACATTAGGGTTATTCTTGAACAAAGATGACGGAGTTTGGGGCTGAGCAACTTGAAGAGTCTGTTACCTTTTTTCATTGTATTTCAATATATCTTGCTGTATTCTATGTATTTTATTGTATTCATTGTCTTTTTTTCTCCCATTGTATTTCAATGTATATCGTTGTATTCCATGTATTTCATTGTATTCACCGTTTCGCTATATTCCATGATGTATCCATATGTTTTTTTTAATTAATATAATTTATGTATTCAGATTTATAATTGAGTTTGTTCAGTTATATTAGGAGTCTATTTGTGTTAATTGATTCACTTTCCGTTTAAAAAAAGCTGAATAGACCACGATTTACGCTATTTACGTTACTGTATTCACAAATACATATCGTGAATACAGTCGAATACAATAATAACCTAGATGTACTCCCCTGTTTCACGCCGAATTTGGCTATTGTATTCATGAATACAGTAGCTTAAATACATCGAATAGACTTTAGCAAAATTGAAAACATAGCTATAGGAAGTAATATAGTAAATGGTAGCTATAGCTAGCTAATAACCGCTATGTGAAAATTTCTCTAAAATTAACTCGTAACAATCGTCCAAACTAAGGACAAGTCAAATAGCATGTTAACATCCAATCAAATATCATCCTTAAACCCAACCCATCAGTGCGCCCAAACCCAAATCCAGAATTTCCGGATTGCTCTCAATTCGTGAAACACAAATCTATTCGAGTGCAAGCTATCTCAAGTTTCAGAAACCCTAGAAATTCGAAATGGAGAGAGAAAAATCTAGTAGGAGAGAACGAGCATCCAGAGACGACGACAACGACCGCCGCCATCGTCATCGCGACCGTTCGAAGCACCACCATCGAGACGATGAGAACCGACACCGATCCGATGATCGAAGAGGTCGCGATCGCGAAAGGCGTCGCGAGAAATTACTCGAATCGGAAGTTGTCAGAGAAAAATCTTACGATAGAGAGGATTCCGTGGAGAGAAGGCATCCGCATAGGAGGAAAGACGATAGAGAGAAATGGAGAAATCGTATGAGAGAGAGGATTCAGTGGAGAGAAGGAATGCACATAAGATGAAAGAGAGAGGAGAAGAGAGTGTGGATAAGAGCAATGGAGGAGATGAGAAGAGAGCTAGGGTTTGAGAGGATAAGAAGGAGGAGAGAAGAGAGAGGAGGAGATTTGATGATAAAGTGAAGAAGGAGGAGGAAGAGGATGTGGAAATTGACGAGGAAAGGAAGGGGAAAAGATGTGAAATGAGAATTGTGAAGGAAGAACCGAAACCCGAGCCCAATGATAATGGTCATGGTGTTGGTTCCATTGATAATGTGAGTTTCTTACTGCCATGCTCTTTTTCACTAGTATATACCAAGTTGCATGCCTTTGTCTAGTGTTGATGAATACCAGTCTTTACTTAGATGAGAATTTGTTAGAGGCAAACTGGCGATCAAAGTGCAAAAGCTCGAAACGACCGGTCGGGTTATTACATCAGGTGTCCACACTTTTGTGATTATTGGCTTATTGCCAACTGTATGAGGTCCAGAATACAGAATCGCATCTCTATCATCCATATTATTGAATTTTATAACAAAGTATCCTTCATTATGGAAGTATATCATAGGTTTTGAGACAAAATTTCACTGACTAGCAACAAACCTTTCCAAAGCTCCAATCGTAGGTGTGGTTCCTACTACATATAGTATGATAACATTCCTCCATTTCTCTGTTTCCTTCTCCACCTCACTCTTTGATAATTCCACTACTTTTTCCCCATTTTGCAAAATAGGAGCCACAAAGCTTAAATTCATTCCTCTCAGTCCAAAGCAGTTATTTCCCACTAGGTTTGCCCATATCTTATTCTCAGGTCCCTTCGCTTGTGGAACCTCCAGTATCTGTTGTGTCTCCGTCACCTAGCATGTGCTGAAACCACAGATTGAGGTGTTCCTTTGTTCTGATTGCTGCTCATTTGCATAATTCCAAGCGAATTGCACCTGAGAGTGGTGTATTAGGTACAGTCCTCCGATTTGGCAATTTCGGCCAGTCTGGTTCATCTTCGTTACCTTCGCCCTCCATGCATGCTCCTGCTATACCAATTCTTTTTTGCAATAGCCTCAATGGCCACT